GGATGGGGGTTTCAAAATCTGGGCAGATAAAGGTGTACAGAAGGTGGCAGATCTTTATAAGGATGGCAACCTTCTTACATTTGATCAGCTATGCCAAATATACAGCATCCCCAAAAAACATTTTTTTTAAATATCTACAAGTTAAACATTTCATTATGTCAAAATATAAACAGATTGTATCTGAGCCACCATTATCACAATTGGAGAATGTCATACTTCAAAAGCCAGTGGGCAGAGGTCATATCTCTTCGGTTTATACAGCTCTGTTAACACATGATGGGGAATCTGCCACTGACAAGTTGGACGCATGGAGGGCTGACATCCAAGAGGAGATACACGAGGTGGACTGGGAAACTGCATGTTTAAAAGCCCAAAGACAATCAATTAATACAAGGATGAAACTCCTCCAATATAAGTGGTTGATGAGAACTTACATAACCCCAGTCAAACTGAATCGCTGGTCGCCTGTCATCCCAGATAGCTGCAGTAAATGTTTAGACGAGAAGGGCACTCTGCTCCACTGTGTATGGAGCTGTCCAAAATTACAACAGTACTGGAAATTAATCACGCAAACTTTATCTAAGATTGTTGGAGTAAATATACCTGTTGAAGCAAGAATGTGTGTGTTGGGTATATATCCAAAGAACTGTGACTTTAGCACCAGACAGCTAAAATTAATTGACTTTGGCCTCCTGCAAGCTAGGCGCTTAATATCTTTGTATTGGAAGAAAGTGGATGTACCCTCAAGTCATATGTGGGTGAAGGAGATGGCATCATGTATTGTATTGGAACAACTTACTTATATTGTCAGAGGAAAGGGAGTAGATTTTGAAGAAATATGGTTACCTTTAACTGAGTTTCTGAGACATTATGAAGGGAATTAATTTAGAAAGTGATACTTGGTGCGGAGTTTTGGGTTTCTTTGTGTGTGTGTGTGGTTTTCTTTTTGTTTTGTTTTTTTGTTTGTTTTTTGTTTTCTTTGTTATCTGTTTCTTTGTTTTTGCTGTTTTTATTTTTCGTTCGCGTCTTACTTTGTTTGTTTTACCCATGCTGTGCATCGGTTTTGTTTTATTTTATTATTTATTTATTTTTATTATTATTATTGTTTCTTTTAATTTATATTTGTTTATTTTGGGGACTATGTTCTTTAATATAAATCTCATGTTAACTGTACTATTCTTTGCTTGTTCTGTGATATAAAATTCAATAAACATAATGTTTAAAAAAAATAAATAAATATATCTCTATATCTAGATTTTTAGATATTGTTTAGAGTAGTAAAATCCAAAACATTGAGACCACCGTGTTCATAGTCATTCATCAATACACTTTTTCTGATGTAATGTGTCCGGTTTTTCCAGAGGAAGTTGAAGAGCATTCGGTCAATATCCTTACAAGTTTTGCCGTCCACATGCAGAGAAATTGCTGCATAAGTCAGTCGAGACAGACCTTCTGCTTTTGAGAGCAATACCCTTCCTCTTAAACTTAAATCTCTCTGCAACCATTGATTTAATTTGGTTTGAGATTTTTTAATAATTGGGGGAAAATTTAGTAAAATTCTGTCTTTTGGATCTTTGCAGATAATCAGACCTAAATATGTTGCTTCATTTTTAACTGTTATATTACAAATACTCTGAACATTACACTCTTTGACAGGTAATAACTGACATTTATTTAAGTTTAGGACCAATCCTTTTGAGAACCTCTACCGAGCAATGACTTCTGGCTTTAAGAAAATTGTATCATCTGCATTGACTGATACAATCTCTCTGCTATGTTATACCCTCAAGGCTATCAATATGAGGGCATTGGGCATAAAAAAATAGGCTATGGCATTCTACTCGATTAAGACTAAAACGAGAAGTGGTGCCATTTTTCATTCTAATAGAACTATTAGCATTGGAATACAGAGTTTTGATAGCTCTGCAGAAGATATCACCAAAACCAAATTTCTGAAGTGTAAGAAATATAAATTCATGCTCAATTGAGTCAAAGGCTTTATAGAAGTCCAGGAGAAGGATAAATGAGTCATCAGATATTAATGCTGAGTAGTCCAGAATATCCAAGACGAGTCTAATATTATTGGAGATGTGCCTGTTTGTCATAAAACCAGACTGTGTCTCGTCTACAATATCGTCCAAAATATATTTAATTCTTCTAGCTAGCAATAGAGCTAATATTTTATAATCATTATTTAGGAGGCTTATTGGTCTCCAGTTGTCTATAAAAAGTAGGTCCTTCTTAGGTTTGGGAATTAAAGTAATAAGTCCCTGAGTAAGGCTGGGAGGAAGAGTGCCCCTTTCAATACTTTCATTATAAACCTGCAACAAAAAGGGTGCAAGCTGAGAAGAAAATGATTTATAGAATTCAGCCACCAGCCCATCTGTGCCTGGAGATTTGTTGTTTTTAAGAAATTCAATAGATGTCAATATCTCTTTTTCAGTAATTGCACTGTCACAAAAAAGCCTATCAACACTTTTAATCATTTCAACATTGTTGACAGAGTCAATAAATTGGGTAGCGACCTTTGCGTTATAATTGGATTCATACAACTATGAGTAGAAATTACAACAAAATTGAGTTAAACGCAGACTACTTTAGGCCCGGAAGTAGGATTCGTCACGTCATCACTTAACGACCGGATATGGCGCTCCCCGGAGGCTGCAGCCAGACCCTTCTCTCATCCACAGACTCTGCTTCCTCCACGGAAGACAGTACAAATCTAATTAAAAGCCAATCTAAATAAATGAGTCTTAAGCGGCTTTTTAAAAGAATAAATACAGTCAAGGCAATGTAATGATGGAGGGAGAGCATTCCGTCAGTACCAAGATTTTAAAATGAATTCTAAAATGTACTGGAAGCCAGTGTAATGAACGTAATACTGGTGTAATATGCTCTCTTTTTCGTGTCTTTGTTAAAAGCCTTGCAGCAGCATTCTGGACTAACTGGAGACGGTCAAGGTTTCTTTTGCTCAAACAAAGAAAGAGTGTTACAATAATCTAAGCGAGATGAAATAAAAGCATGAATAACCATGAATGAAAATAATGAAATTCTCCATCTACTACAGGTTTGTATCGCACACAATACTATAGATGCCTTTAAAACCAGTGTCAAACACGGTGATAAATCATCACCACCTGAAAAGTTTTTGTTTTTCATAAGCATTTTACTTTACTTTAAGCTTTAAGCTGTGAATCAACGTAAACCAACAGCGAGTATGTTGTCCGTGCAGCCTAGTGTGACTCAGTGTCTGTCCTCTGTGTTTTATACTATGAGAGATTGAGCCCCTCCTGTAGTGGTTTGGTTGCAATGGTGTGTGACAGTGACTCTGATGATGCATTATTAAAACAATGACCTGGGGCCTCATTTACAAAACAGCACATGGGACCATACTAGAAGTGTATATGTGCACAGAGACTAAAATCTGTGTGTCAAAGGATAATCAGGTTTATATAAACTGCAGACAATTCCCCTTTATAAATTAAATGCATATGTGGATCCCTATTTCACGCTTGGCATGGCATTTAACCATAAAAAGACTTTGCAAAGCACCTTGTGAATGGAGATGCATAGCAATGAGCCTGCTGATCGATGGGTCTTTAGTCCTCTAGCAGTGTCCACCACCAAACAGCAAGATGCAGGTTTTACTGCGGGTTTTATTTTTAAATTTTACAGCAGTCTGACTGATTATTTCACAAGATGCTGAACTGATAGCAGCAATCAACATTTTCTTTTCATTTCGTCTGATTCCTGGGGGTCTTCTTTCTAATATTGTAGGGTCTTTACCTTGCGATATACAATTTAAAGCACCTCGAGGCAACAGTTGTTGTGATTTGACACTATGTAAATAAATTTGAACTGAACAGAATGGAATTGGCTGAACTTGTCTCATGATATGATAATGAGGATGAACCATGCTATTGATGTCATTGTCTTTATTTTAGGGCTGCTCACAATAATTTAAATGTACAGATGGTGAAGTGACAAAAGGTGGAACGTGTGGGTGGCAGCTCAGTGAGCTCTGTGCAAGAACCATCGGGAGAATACAGTAAAGAATTGCCATTATTATAATTATTATTATCATACAACTCCAACTCCATCCACAATTCCAAAGTTGGGACCCGAATCGCAACACAACTGAAAACATAAGTGTTTAAATTGAGCCATTTTGCTATACAAAATGCCAGCTCATGGTAGCATCACACAGTAGGGACCATGCCATCCTCTTTTAACAACAATCCATTCAATTCAATCAGTACTGTAGGATTCTAGCTGCTCTGTCTGGACTGCAGGCAGGTCAGTTCAACATATGAGGCGATGCTGCTGCAATAGCTGTAGAATGCAGTTTAGTGTTCTGGGTGGGAGCATATGTTGCTCTAAAACCTTTATATACAGTACCTTTCATCACTGATGGTGCCTTTCCAGATGTGCAAGCTGTGGTTTTCATAGACACTGATGCACCCCCATACCATCAGACATGCAGGGTTTTGAAATCTGCTGATAACAGACAGTCCCTCTCCTCTTTTGTTTGGAGGACGTGACATTTGTGTTCTCCAAAACGAATTTTAAAATTTTGATTCGTCTGACAGCAGAACAGTTTCCAACTTTGTCTCAGTCCATTTTAAATGAGCTCTGGTCCAGAGAAGAACTTTCATTCTGTATGTTGAATCTAGGGCGATTGGTTTCTGGTGTTGATTATTAAATGACCCGAGGAAAAAGTGATAAATATGAACTTATGTTAAGAGGTCTGATGGAGAAGCCAGTGAACCCCTAAATTCACAATAAAAATCCTTTCTAGGCATTTCACAATGCTGACTGGAGTTTCTTTTATATTTTGTCCTCTGTCGCACCTTTTTGTCCCTAAGGGTTTTTTTCTTACAAAATCTTTTGTTTGTGTTTTCTTGTTTTTAGCACTTTGAGATTTTCAGCCTATAAGCTCTAATGATCATTCTTACACATGGATTCTTAGCCACAGCAAGTTTCTGCAGGGAGAAAATGCCGCTTTGCTTGAACTCAGAAATTTCACCTGCTTATTTGTCCTGCAGAAATTATATACAATGCAGGAAAAGTATCAACATTATTATGCACTGTTGTAATCCATAATCATATAGAGGTATTTAGCACCTCACACATCCTCTGCCTGATGGTGTGCAATGGAGTGAGGAAGGTACAGTATTATTTGACATGAAATGTTTGCCTATAGAGCTGCAATTTTCCAACACCCCGAGGTCACTGTCAATTGATTTCAAATTTTTTCAGCACACCAGCCCACTGCTACAATCCCATCGCGCTCAATTCGAGCAATTTGCCGTTCATCGTAGAAAAGAAATTGGGAGGCTATAGTCACGCTCTCAGCTGTGTTTGAAGACTCTGTTTCTGCTGCCGCTGAAAAATGAAACAATCACCGTGAAGCGGAAGGAAGAAAAATGTGAACGGATACGTCTTCCATTCTAAATGCCACGTCTCACTTTGTGTGTCTACTGTCGTTCGACAACAAAGACATGGCATTGTCCAAGATTGTACAGCATGGAGTCTAAAAACCGATTGCCAACCTCAATTTTCTTCCTGCAGCAATATAATCAGACTGATGTTAAGGATTTCTAAAATCACTGGGACAGTTATTTCCTTGTATTGTCAATGATGTTACTTTCTTAACAGGTTGGCCCTTCTCCAACACTGTGTGTAAGATGAGCGGCTTTGTGCAGGGCGTGTCAGTGTCTGCATCAGTCTTCACCCTTGTGGCTATTGCTGTTGAAAGGTAAGTGCACATTGTTCTTTGGTTCTTGATGGAATATAACACAATAACAGTGAAATAAATAATGGACAAATATATAAAAATTCTAATAATGTTAGTGGTGCAATGTTTGCTCTATTCCTATTTCATTTTAGAACAATACTATTTACTAACAGCAGCGGACAAATATACACCTTTGGCCTAATGATGGTATGAAAAGTGTATCAAATTGAGCTGATATCTTCCATTAAATGTGAAATTGTCTCAGTTTAAGTATTTGATGCATTTTCTGTGTTATACTGTGAACAAAATGTGAGTTTGTGAGATTTGCAAGTCACTGCGTTCAGTTTTATTTTTACATTTTACAGAGGACCTGAACCTTTCTGGGAACGCCGTTGTTTTTACTTATAAATTTAAGTTGGACAGTCCAACCAGCCATACCCAGACTGACAAAAAACCCAAATATTTAACAGCTTTATTTTGTCACTTATTGCTAAGATCACTCTAGGAACTTGCAACCAACATTAATGCAAGGATGTGCAGTCAACTTTTGATCCTGTTGCCTTTGAAATCTGTTTTGTTTTTTAGTTTTTTGAAAATGAAGATCAGATCTGCATCCACTCATATTCATTTGTCATCTTCAGCGTGACCTTGGTGCATTAAGACAACAACAAAATGGCAAGCAGACGCAGTCAGTCTGATAATAGGTCTGTGACTGAATGGAGTTAAGTTCAAAATGACATAAAATCTGTCTGTGATAATACATCAATTAACTGTTATAAATCAGCAAAAATTGAGATGAGTGTTGTCATCTACATTCACAGAAATTCAAATTAGCTACTCCAACTAGAATCCAACTAAAATGACATACATATGAAAAAGAAGTTCTAAAATTCCTCCTCAATGATGCAGTTTCTGCAGGAGAGCAACTGAACTGCAATATTAAATGGACACTGCTTTTAGGACAACCTTGATTTCATATAGAAATAACCAGAATGCAACCAGTAGTCAGCCAGTTGAGTCAAGTCCCATATTGCAGAGAGATGTGTCTTCTGCTATTTTGCACAGACTAATGCAAAATATGCAAATGCAATACAAAGTCTGTCTGTGTTTTTAAATTAAACACTAATTATTTGCAAACCTTTGCCAGTTTGACAAAGACTGCAGTCGGTAAAAGTCAGACCACAAGTGTTTGAGACAGGTTGCCTACTACCTTGGAATAGAAAGTTTTTGGCCAGAAGTTGAAAGTATTGCATGCTCTACCTCTAGGAAATCATTTCATACCTGAAACTACTTTTTAACAAACATGAAAAAATTCAATGCAATTGATATACAACCACAGACTTTTTACATAGGAATGACACATCGGAAACAATTTACACTTTTTTCTTTTCTTCTTCCTGTAAAACAGTTGTGATGTAATGGATTTATCTCACAGGGTTAAAAAGAAATTAATTAAACAAGTTATGATATTTATCTCTGAAAACCCACAAGTTTATTTCATTAATTCATAACAATGCTTCTTTTGTTTCCTTGTCCACTGCAGGTTTCGCTGTATTGTGTACCCACTACGACCCAAGCTGACGGTGTTCGTTGCCAAATTAGCAATCGTCTCGATCTGGGTGTTAGCCGTGGCCTTCATGTGTCCTGCTGTAGTTGCCCTGACTGTGGAGAAAGTCCCTTTCCATTACATGATATATAATAACAACTTCAATCAGACATTGCCCTTGTACACCTGCTACGAAAACTTTGCCAACCCTCGGATGAGAAATGTCTACACAGTGGTTTTGTTTGCACACATCTACCTGCTGCCCCTCACAGTAATCTCACTGATGTACATAAGCATTGGAGTCAAACTGTGTTCTTCTGTGTTTGCAAACAAGGAGCCGCACTTGGCCAATGCTACAGTCCAGGAAGGAAGCAGGAGACACGCTCATCCGAGGGTATCGAGGAAAAAGATAAAGGTGATAAAGATGCTCATTCTGGTAGCTTTGCTTTTCATGTTGTCCTGGTTGCCTCTCTGGACCCTCATGATGATAACAGACTATGCAGACTTGGATGGGAACCAGCTGGACCTTCTGACCAGCTACATCTTCCCCTTCGCACACTGGCTAGCTTTCTCGAACTCCAGCGTCAACCCCATCATCTATGGCTACTACAATGAGAATTTTAAGAGGGGCTTCGAGGCGATATGCAAGTCCAGGCCTTTTTGTTGCGTTGTGCAGAGCCAGCTGTGGAGCAGAATTGTTGGGTGGAGGAGGAAAAGAAGGTCTGTGCAAGCACCGTGTGAAGGTACTGTTTCTAGAGAAGTTGTTAATCACAACCATTTTGTGTTGGGACTAAGAAATCGAGTCCATAATGACAACAAGTTGAATGACACGGCTGAGGTGAATAGGAGTGCGAGAGTCGAGAGTGCGGTGGTCCACTCGGGAAGGGCGCTTACGGATCAAGAGTTAGAAATGACTGCTGTCAATAAGAAAAGCAGTAATGAAGCAGAATCAGAAAAAGTTAGTTCACTGGCAATTTCACCGTATCAGGTGTGGGATAACTGAATAATTACAGTCTTAGCAAGAGAAACCCGAAACAAAGCCATACTGTTACACTACCGCCCCATGAAGGACAGTCATTAACTATCTGATGTCACAGGTTAAATATGGTTACACTTTAAAATGATGGTTAGAGAGTACACATGTTAATTTTCTACAATTAAAGTAAGTTTTACGAGTTGAAATGAAAATAACAGTATGACTAACTAACCCTTCTAACAGTCCATAAACCAAAGACAATCTGACTATATTGGTCACTTTCATATTATTTTCCTGTATCTGAACCACAAACATCCAATAAGGTAAGCAGGTCCTGTCGTCTGTCCTCGCCCTGCTAAGAAAGGTTTGGCTGATCACGTGTGGAACCACAAAGACGTGTGACCACATCAAAAGCTAACAATGCCAGTACTTATGCAGGCTAAATATACAGACCTAATTTAAGATCCATGCACGATCTTTGCCATCATAAGGCTTGGTCGGTATTTTGTCTCTATTTATTTGAAATAAGAATTAGACTAATAGCCTTTTTTCTGTCTGTTTATCTCATTATCCAGCCTTTGTGCTGAGCACACAAAGACATTTTTGTTACAAAAAAAGTTCTTCAGCTCTTCATTGCACTTTGTACACTTAGCCTGTTTATCCCAAAACTGATATGGCACAACAGCCAAATATTAGTCATCTGATAAAACAACCAGAGTGAAAATTAACATGTTTAAACAAACCACTATGAGCCTTATTAATAGAAACACCCCCCAAAAATATTGGAAGATAAACTAAGACAGATTAGATATTGTGTTAGCCTTTGTATTCAATCATCTGGCAGTTAATATAGCTCAGCTTTGCGTCTTGTGATATGAAATTTGTTCCACGTAGCCTAGGGTTTTGTGTACACAGTACATGAGAATAAAACATTACATTATCTTGATAGATCACATCAAATGGAGGGAAAAGTGTAGCATAAAGGATGCTGCATAGGCGCCAGTGAATGATTATGAATGACAAACTACACCACAAAATATCTAAAACACTTCATCAGTGTATTAGTTTTGCACCTCTTAGCAAACGTGAATATTTTAATGGAAGACATCCAGCAGTCACTGAAAAACTGCCTTTAAAGAACAATCGAAACGCTACCTCCACAATCATGCAAATGTACAAATGTAAGCAAATTCAGATTCATACTGGAAGCTACTGGTCAACTACCTCAAACTCATTAATACTATGAAACTTCTAAAACATTTAAGTGGCATAAAATGATGAATAAAAAAAGCACAAATACCATTTAATAATTTCATTCTAATATGCTGAAGTTCTTTCTATTCATTAGAAAGTCATTACAAATATTTTCCAATCAGTGGTTAGTCTTGGTGATTGATGCCAGTAAAGCTGATAAAGATGGAGCGTGTATCTCGTAATGTGCTAAAAACTGCGGTTATGCTTAAAAAAGCTACTTTGCATCACAGGAGACAAAAGGAAAAGGAAAAAAAGCTGCTTGCACGCCCCCACACACACCACAGCCAATTACTGTGTGTAGGTAGGTGTGAATGTTAGATTGTCGAGGCTGACAGTGGTGATCGTGGATGAATCAGTATCAAAGGCTCTAATCTGCTGCCTTTGGCAACTGATGATTTTCCAGCCGAGCAGAAAGTGTGCCCCCTGTGAAACAAATGGAAGTTGTTAAAATTACAGGGTAACCTTAGAACGTCCACAAATTAAGTGAAATAATATGAAGTGAATGTGATATTAAATGAAACCACAGATATATTGAGGGAGGAGGAAGATGATACTGACAGAGTTTGAAGAACTAAAATAAAATCACACAAGTGGAACAGAAAACGAGTTCTAGAAATGGTACTAATCACAATTTGCGCAACATCTGAAGTAAAACAACAGAGAGAGAGAGATACCGCCAATGTGGATGACAAAAGTACCCAACATGCATTTCTTTGCACGTGGTTTGGTTTCTCTAAAATGCAGCAATTAAAGAGGAGGAGCTCCCCCAAAAAACTCATGAATAATGAGGGCCAGATTCATATTCACATTTTTCTTACAGGGAAACTGAATACAGAGTGATGCAGTGTTGCTGCAATCACAGCAAACCTCTCGCCACAGCGTTGCAGTCAGTCTCTTTATTACAAATGCAGCATTACTCTCGTTTTGCCTTTTCGTGCTAGATGTTTATATAGGAACGAACAGCATAAAACAAAATGTGAATGTGAGATGTGCTAACTTTAGTTTCCTGCTGTTATCTGCTCCAGAACAAATAACTTAATGGTGTTATGATTACAGTTTTTGGCTGTGACCATTATTTAAAAATGATTACTTGCTCAAAATAGCATTTCTGTTTTTCTTGGGGGAAAGCTGGTATTTCTTCTGAAAATATAGATTTCAGTTTAAAGGGGATTTCCACTGATTTTTTACGCACAGAAAGTAGCTAGAAGAAATTGGCTTTGTAAGCTAAAAATGACCTTAAGTTGAAAAATATACATATGTCCTTTGTAACCACAAAAATTGTTGGTTGCCCATTCATTGCAATGAATGTTGCCAAGAGTTAAGGCAACCAGCTGGTTGAGTTTGAGTGTGCAAAACCCTCAGCCTCAACCAACTCAGGGTTCAGTATCTTGCCCGAGGAACCTTCGACACATGGGCTGGAGGAGCCGGAAATCAAACCCCCAACCTTTTGATTGGTAGATGACCTACTCTACCACCAGCTGTTGCTCAGATGTTACAGCAAGTCAGACATGTGGGAACCAACCTGTCTCCAAACAACTGCAGTCTTGCAGATTGGCTAAGGTTTGCAAATAACTGGTGTCTGATTACCAGACCCACCTGGCCTTTTTGACGGCCACGTCTGGCCCATGTACCTGAAACATAAGAATGTTACAGTCAGTTTGCATCGGTCTGCAGACTCATCTGCAACCCGTGTGCAACCCGCCTCTTTGAAGTAGGGGACTTGGCTCAGTTGGTTGCCATGTGGTTATATTCTGGTTGCTCTGCTATTTAAAAGTGTCTATGTCACTTTACATGTAAATTTCTGTTCTGTCATCAATACATCAATCTTCTTTCATTATCTTTGTCCTGACTGAATTATATTTTTGGCAGATATGTTTGGAAAGAGAGCATAAAGCTAAAATATGAGCAGAACTTTTTTCCCCCATGTTATATGGAAAAAACAAACATTACTAAAATCACTGGATCCCCTTTAAACACTGTGCAGTCACAACACGTAAGATTATGTAAGAACACATATAGTTTAATAGTGATTCCTCACTCATTATTTTCCAGTTTGCAAGCAACTGTTAAAATCACCAGCAAAGTTGATGATAAAGTTTACTAATAGGAGTAAATTAAAGTGAGAATTTACTGGCGAAGTTGTGATGTGCAGCCTCGGACGTCCTCACTAAAGCATCATGGGGCTAATAAGCTGTAAGCTTATAGCTGAGGTTTTTGTGTGTGATATTCGGCATCACTTTAACAAAGATTTGGGGTAACTCAAAGGTTGTTACATTAATGTGACGTATAAAAATTATTTTAAAAACTTTTACAAACCAATCAGATTTCATTTCAACACAAAACTTTTTTCTTACTGTTACTAAGTCAAGCACTTAATTTCATGACTCAGAACATATGTTGTTATCCAGTGTTAATACCTTGTAATATCTAGTGTTGTTTTTAGAATAGAGGTGCTTGGTTACAGACTGTGATATATTAAAAAATACCACTGTTAAATCCTTCAGATGACGGTCTGATCTGAAAAGAATGTATTTTAGAGCAACGTATTTAACTAGTAAATATGCAAGCGTTGTGATCCTCCACAGCAAGAACGATATCACCATTATTATAGAAATATATGGATGAAAACATGTGTGCTTGTACAAATGTTGTCCCCAGGAGCCTGAACCAAAGAGCAGCATGCAACATAAGGATAGTTTATCTTTACACATGCTGTACTGTGCAAAGGTTCGGGTAAAATAAGGATGTTATGTTTCGACTTCCCTAGATCTTTAAGACATCATCATCACCAAACATCATCTCTTCACTACACTTAAAATGGACATCATTACTGTGTCATCACGTTTCTTTAATGAGAAGTGGATCCGACTGCGAAGACAAGGACACTTCACTCATACGGTAGCAAACTCTTCATCACAAGGTAATCAGGGCCTAAATTACACTGTGCTTTATCTTGAACATCATGATGAATTATTTCACACTCAAAACAAGGGATTGAGACCATAAATTCTTCAGGAAAGTGTTTACTAGATATTAATTAAAGCGAGCGATAGGGTCTCTAACTTGACGAATTGTTTTATGCAATTGGATTTCATTTCTGCAATCAAAGATGTCGTCTCCTGCTGGCCATTTGAAAGAATGTATTACAGTTCTGTGCAAAGGAACGTTTCTCACAACCCCATGATTCAAAAGCTTGTAGAACCACCTTTAGCAGCAATAAAGTAACTGAATTAAAGCAAGTACTGTATTTTACAGACCATAAGGCACACCAGATTATAAGGTGCACTGCTCATACAAAAGACGCATTAAGTGAAACAAAACAGGCAGATAAGCCAAACTTTACTCATTCTTCTTGCTTCCTCCACTTCTGTACCATTGATTCATTAATGTTGAATTCTCTCACAGCTACTGTTGTTGCAGTATATTAATGACTAACCTTATATTGTGGATAGTTTATCTCAGTTGTTCTCCTGACTAAGGTTTGTTCTGTTTACAGCATCCCACCATATGATTGCATTTGTTGGGAACCCTCACAGGGCTCTCAAAATTTCAAAATCCCTGGTAGCCCTTCGGGCAGGGACTCTTCAGTTTTTGGTAGCCCAAAATAAATTTAAGTAGCCCGAATAAAAAAGAGAGCAATTTTTTGATTGATGTTTTGTTTCCTGTTTTGTTTCCTTTACAATATTATACATTAAAGTATAATATTGTAAAGGAAACAAAACATTAATCAAAAAATTGTTGAAAAACAAATTACAACATTGTATAAAAATTACAATCATCAACTCAAATACTTGGTTCTAATTGAACAGAAATTTCTATGAACTTGTAAGAACTGTGTAGGACATGAATCAGTCTGTGTCAGATCCTGAATTTGAAATTTCCACTGAAGTCACGGGTAAGAGACAAGTGGAACCAAGATCGAGGCCATTTGCTTTTTGAAGTTTGCAAAGACTGCTAAATTTTGCCAGTGGTAGTTCACTCTTTGCAACATAGTAGCTGTTCTAAACAGATTTTTCAGGTTTATTTTTAGTATGTTATTTGCAATTGGTGTTTGTTCTGGGAAAGATATTGCAGACTGAGCAATAATGCATTTCTTGCATTTCTCATGGGTTCTAATGGGGGCCTTTCTTAAAATGACTGGTCCCAGTAACAAAGGCGCTTGTCGACTCAGAAATCGAGAGAAAACCAACAACACACCCGGCAGAACATTATGTTATTTACACGGGTGCACATAAGTGGTCCGCATGTGCGCATTCGCTGTCAAAATAAAAGACGCGCACCAGATAAGAAGTTGCAACGCGCGTTTGCGTCCATATAAAAAGCACTGTTTTTGTCCGCTAGAGTGGGATTTTCACGGCACATTCTGCACCACATCTCTGTGCGTTCATCATTTGTTTGAAGCCAGCTCACCTCCTGCAACCACTTTTCCGAGAATACGTGCTTCTTTTGTGGTTCGGACTCCTTCTGACATTTGTTTGGAGGTGGAGGAACATCACAGTAATTGCTTAAAGGAGCTTCTTCGACATCTTTAAGAGTTCTAAACAAATGTCTGTCCTCCTCCAGAAAATCTTATGTACGCAAACACGCGTTGCAACTTCTTATCTTGTGCGTGTTTTTTATTTTGACAGCGAATGCGCACCTGCGGACCACTTATGTGCAGCCCTGGTTATTTAGCTCATCATATTGCAGCCACAGAAATTCTTTTGTCCATGAAACCATAAAGCTGCACTTTCTTTTTGCCTTATAGTCTGATTTGTCATAACTTTTCCGTTTTGTGGTAAGCTTTTCTTTGGCTGTCACTTCTTCACCCTGACCTGTCTTATTTGGCTCAGCAGAACTAAAATATATATCCTGCTGCTTTTACACACGCACTCACATAAGCTCAGCGATTCTCTGCGCGATCAACCTCTCACATGTTTAAGCTGCGGGAGATTTCACTTGTCATGTTTGCATAGTAAGCTAACGATTGATAAGACGATGTCAGAGGAATTGGTGCACAAATTATCATCACTCACAGATCAGTGCTGTCGCTCTCTATACACAGTTCGCACGATTGCAAAGTGAAAGCAAAAAACAAGCGCAAATTCAAACGCGATTTCAATATGTCACATATTGACAGTGGCTCACCGATGCCAATGACATAATTACCCAGCTACATTTCTGAAAGAATGCAAAAGCATTGACATATATTTTTCCTTCCTATAGCCCGACGGGCAGGGCAGAGATAGATTTTGGTAGCCCGACTGGAAAAATCGCTAGCCCCGGGACGTCAGGCTAGCGATTTTGCGAGCCCTGCCTCAAGTTAACTTTTTATTGAGAGGAAAAAAGTTAACTTTCATTCTACAGCTTCACTGTATTGGTTATGCTAACCTTGCTATATCGTTAGCGATCACATAGCACATCATTATATACCAGCTAGTCCAACTTCAGTAACCCTACAAAAGTCAATGCTGTTTGGTTTTCTGTCTTCATTTATGTTAGAAGTGATAGCAGAGCTGTACATCTTGTATTTTTCACAAATCTCTCAGTCAGAACATGGTCTATCACAGTGGTTCCCAAACTTTTTTTGCTAGGCCCCCTTGCTAGGCCCCCCCCCGGCACACGCACGCACGAACACATCCTCCAACCACACACACCCATATTTTGCACCATTGCTGTTTATTTCACACCTCAAACATTTAGTGAACAATTAAGCAAATACAAGTAATCTGCAATAAATTACAGGTAGTAAGAAAATAAACTACTAACTCTTTTACGCTACGTCCACACCTACACGGGTATTTTTGAAAAAGCAGCTGTTTCGTGCACACGTAAACGGCGTTTCAAATCACCAAAAACGGAGATTTTTAAATCTCCTTTTCTGCGTTTATGTGTGGACAAGGAATACAGAGTTCCTCATGCAACGTCAAAGGTATGTGCCTTTTTTCACGTCACGCTGTGCGCCACGTTATTGTTTACATGAGATGAATTGCAGAATGGCAGATTAACAGTATTTTGTCTCTATCTGCAGGTTTTACATATACGCACGCAGCTACTGTCCCTCTATTTAGAAAGGCAGAGGCATCACAGTGTAATTATTTTTACATGTAGTGGTTTTTTTCCTGTGTAATAATATTCAACATTGCTATCAATACATTTTTCAATCCCTCTGCAAAATGGGTTCAAAAACATAAACAACTGTGGGATACTGTTTGTCCGGGATTTTGACAGGGGGAACAAATCGTGGCAGGATGAGCCTGATATTATTTGTACTCCACTGTAACTTTACTGTATAAAGAGATAGCATCTCCAAAATGTTAGGAGCAGTTAGTCATTACAACAAGTGTTTGTGAACTTAAAATCAGGAATGTGGAATACTGTTTGTCTGTGATTTGAAGAGCCCAGTGCGTGCTCCCGACAAAGGGAAAACCAATTCTGCAGAGGAGACCTACCTCGGCACTTGTGCAAGTTAGTTGTGCAGGTTTTCTAGTCTTTGGCTTAGAATGAAGTTGGTTTGGAAACATATTCAGCGATTCTTCATCTCCTGATTTGCGTTTGTGGTGGCGCCCCATGCTAGCAGTGTCCAAGCGTTG